GCTTTACTGCCATCAGCGTTCTTGGGAGTAGCCTTCTGCCGAACGGTGAGGAGTTTTGCGTGCAGTGCCTCTTCGAGCACCTTCGCCCTAGGTATGTTGAGGGATGTATAACGTTCGTACTTGGGCTTCCACCCCGACTCTTTTCGAGGGGGTCGATCAGTTTTATAGTCGTTAGACGACCATTTCATGTCCTTCTTAATACTATTGTTCGGACTTTCATGTTGTTGCTTTTTCCTTGAGTTCCTGAGGTCCTCGATGCTGATGAATTTTGCGATCGTTGCCTGGAGTTCCTCCATAGACTTGGGAGGATCTGAGTACAGTTGTTCGGCGAAATACCTTGGCCGTAAACAGGAGGGTAGATTGCTGATTATAAACGTGTGGTTTACATCCTTCACACGTCGGACCTCCTCGTTGTACCTTTGCATGAAGGCCTTCAGGGTCTCATCTTTCTCCTGCTTGGTGTTTACGAGCTCAGCAGGAGTCATCTCGGGCCTCCGTTTGGTAGCATACTGTTTTCGAAATAGAGCTTCTACGGTAGCGAAGCAATCCACCGAATTTTGAGGTAGAGTGTGGTACCACTCAAGGGCCTCATCTTTCAGGGATAACGAAAAAGCTCGGCATATGACGGGATCGTTATCCGTGTAGAACGCCATGGCATCGATGAAGTTGCGGAGATGATTGTCGGGGTCTGCTGAACCGTCGTATCTTTCTAACGTCGGAGGGGGCTTTTCCGGCATATGGGCTTGCATGATGGCTTCCGTAAATGGAAGCAGATTAGTGAGCCGTAGAGAGGTGGGTCCCTTCCTCCCCCTCCGACTGGTTCGGAGGGTCCTCCATGATGGCTGCCTTAATTATCGTCCTGGCTGTTGGAGGTCGATATTTCTGGTGGGGGATGCGGCGCCCTCAGCGCCGCAAGCTCCTCTGTTTGTTTGCGTTGAATTTCCTGTTGTTCTTGTATGGTTTGCGCTTGTGCTTCGATCTGTGCTTGCAGCTGCTTGATCAAATCTCGGGTGTTGTTGTCTTCCATAGCTGTTGTGGTCTTCTTTGGGATATCAAATCTCGGCCCCACGGTGGGCGCCAAAATGTTTCAGTACAATAGTTGAGGCCGAGATGCGAATCCAAAGAGTCACGTCCTTTCCTCCTAGAATGTCGTTATCTTCACGTCCTCTTCCTACTCAGCACGCTCTAGGGAGAATGGGGTGGGTACCTGCGAAGGCACTCCGATGCTAAAGTCAGAAAAGGGGAATCGTAGAACTCTTTCAGTTCAATAATAGAAGAAATAATATTTTTCTCCTCTCTTCTAATTCAGAAAAACGTACCTTTTTTTCCTTCTGGTTTTTCATATTTAACCTAGCAGTAAGATAAAACCGTTTACCTGAAAATCCGGTTGGTTGGAAGACTTAACTACTTGGAAAATACAACCACTTGGTCGTACTTGATATTGGGTTAGTTGGTTCCGTGATTCGCGATATCTTGGCCACCTATTTCTAACCGTTTATCTTTTAATTTGTTAGGATTAAAAGATCCATTTTGACTAAAATTGACCGAACATTTGTTGACTTTTACCTTTGACTGGGTTTAACGGACGACCGCTACAAGATGATCGGTGAAAAGGATATAACGATCATTCTTTCTATCGGGTGAACGATCGTTCGGGAACAGTCACATGACAGCTCGTTATTTTATCCTTGACGATCGTTCAAGTTGTCAGTCGATCGATACAGATGTCTTACCATACAATATATATATCTATATATATATATATATATATATATATATATATATATTCTTGTACTTTAGTTCTTAAGTATGAGAATTTGTTAAACTTCTTTCTCTTATATATATTTTACTATTATGTTATATTTGGAAAACTGTAACAGTCTTATGCAATTTTTTTACTATTCTTTTCTAGTTTAATAAATATATGATTGATGCCTATAAAATATTAATAGTATTAAAATTTGAAATGTTACTATTTAGACTAATATATAATCATCTTCCAAATTATGTTAATACTCATTCAACATAAGAAACTATTTAGAATCTTTTGAATAAAATAAAGACTTAATTAAGAAAAAACAATTAAGAAAAAACAATTAAGAAATCATATTGAATAATTATATAAATATAGGAATCAAAATATCAATTAAATCTACTTTCTTATAAATGTTCTTATTCTTTTAATTTAAAATGTACAGTTTCTACCTCAAAATATAAAATATTCCAAATATTATTTTCACTCCATATATATCAATTTATACATGTTATTAGCATTTTAAATATGTTTTTAATGACGGAGACTAAATTCAATCATATATTGAAGTAATCTATGTTTTAAGGAATATTGTTATGAATCTTATATTAGAATAATTAAATTTTTTTCAAATGTAGTTATAAGTTAATTTGTAAAAGTGATTTCAGAATATAATTACTAATAATACAAACTATTTTTAACTTATAAAAATAATTTACTTATTTTTTATAAAATAATTTTTTTTCTTATTTTACTGAATGTTCTTTCAGAATTTCCTATTCTATAATATCTATATTTATATAAATAAATACAGATAAATGTTGGTGAGTTAAAGACTTCATTCACTTTATTTATATAAATAATAATATCTAGTATGATTTAAAATTTAAAAAAAATGGGAAATTTTGAGTATGATGTGTGAAAGTACAATGAGATTTGGAATTACAAATTTTTGTTTCTTGTTTTTGGACACTCCCACTCTTCCACGGTGTGACTCAAGCTCTTCTTCCTCTCCTCAAAATCGCTAATATCCAACGACAAGGGTTTGTGGACATAAAACGCTGCGTTTTCATTTCATTCACAATCTCCGGCTCAAACCAGTTTCTTCTTTTGGTCCTCAGGTGAGTGAATTCTGCTTTCTTGTTCATTTACAGCATATAATGCGAACAAGTTTGGATTTTTAAATGAATTTATTTATCTATTTTTATGGTAGTGGAAGTTATTGTATTTGTTGGAGATGATGTATTCTCAATGTGTAGTTTTTTTTTTCTGAAGAAAGAGAGAAAACATGTTATTGAATTAAATGGTTTATGTAAAAAATTTGAAGCAAAATTGAGTAGGTGGTCAGGTAAATTATTCTTATCATATGTGGGAGTATTTACTTTGCACATTTTTAATTTTAATGTGATTCAATGGTCGTCTGAGGTGAGGAAAAAAGGTTATTGGATTGAAGAGTTTGGTGCATTTTTTTTTGGAACAATAATGGATAGGTGTTCTAAAAACTATCTCTAATCATAGGATTAAGTATTTCCTTGCAAATTTAGGTTTTTATTTTATGTGATTTATATTTCTTTAGACCAGGCAAAGGTAGTGCAGCTTATTTTCTAGCCCAATTTCAACACTGTAGCAGATAGTCCCTCATGGTTTAATAAAATTACTGTCATGGAAAATTTCCAAAGGATCTCGCAGTTGTTAATTTAAGCTTCAATAATCCTACAGGAACTTTTTTTCTGGCTTTATGTTGTGATTTTTTTAAATTTGGTTTAAAACTTTCGTTTGCTAAACTTTTATATTATTGTATTCTTTAATATTCAACATCTCAACTTGATGCCTGTTCTTTATATAGAATAAGTTTACATTTGTAGAAACCTCTAACATTAAAATGTGACTTATTTTAAGTGCTTTTATCTTTTCACATGAAAATTAAATTTAGTTTCATTTTATACCAATTTCAATTTGATTCTCCTTGAAAAATAATTCCCTAGTTTCAATTAAGGGTTTTCTGAACACAGATATAATTTTTCTCCAAAGTTAATCAAAATTGGGATGTTATGGTTCTTAGACCGAAACTCACAATTTTATTTTTAAATTAAATCACCCAATCTGTCTAAAACCTTGCTTTCTGGGTTAGAATAAACTAGCATTATTATGCAGTAGGATCTTTAATATCTCTAATTGGTTGTCAGTATTGTTCATATGAACTTTTTAAACTTTTGGACATTCCTTAAACCTTCTGGGTTATATAATTTGAAAATTACTTCCTAAGTGCATAATTTGTATATATTCTATGAACTCTTGCTGACTGGTGTTTTTATTCAATGCATTATGTAGGTAGAGATAATGGCGGAAATTTCCATCATTGCTTCTAAAGGATTAGCACAAGTCATGTTTTCCAGTCCTTTCAAGGAAAACCAATGAATCCTTTGTATCATTTGCTAAGCTATCATGAACGTTGAGGCAGTAGATGAAGGGGAAAACAGTGATAGACCTGCTTCTGGAAATGTTGAAACTGAAAAAGATGAGGAACAAAATATGAAAGTAAACTTGGCTGAAAGAGAAGTAAATAACCAAGATGGTGATGCTTATAGGAAGCCACTTGTGGGCATGCTGTTTGAATCTGAAGATTTTGCAAAATCATTTTATGATGCATATGCAAGAGATGTAGGATTTAGCACACATGTTGGTCAATTCAGCCGTGCTAAGCCTGATGGTCCAATTATAACTTGGGACTTTGCTTGTTCCAGAGAGGTATTTAAAAGGAAGAACATAGTAAGTTGCAATGCAATGCTTAGGGTAGAGAGAAAAGATGCAAACTGGATAGTGACAAAATTTGTTGAGGACCATAACCATTCCCTTGCTTCCTCTAGAAAGGTGCAGAACCGTCAACCCAGTAGACATTCTGTAGGTGCTGCTAGGAATGTTATAGTGACATTTGATGCCCGTAATGAGTCTTGTGCTTCCTTGAATGGAAATCATTCAGAGCCCATTAGTTCTGTTAGTAACTCTTTTCCAGCAGAACAATGTCATCCAATGAGAAACATTGGCTCACTTACCTATGCAAGATCTTCTCAAAAGAGGACCCTTGGAAGAGATGCTCAAAATCTTCTGAATTATTTTAAGAAGATGCAGGGTGAAAACCCTGGCTTCTATTATGCAATACAACTAGATGATGAAAACCGTATGACCAATGCATTCTGGGCGGATGCAAGGTCAAGAACAGCTTATAATTACTTTGGTGATGCTGTAATCTTTGACACGATGTATAGACCAAATCAATACCAAATCCCATTTGCTCCATTTACCGGATTCAATCACCACGGCCAAATGGTTTTATTTGGTTGTTCATTACTTCTAGACGAATCGGAGTCTTCCTTTACATGGCTATTCAAGACGTGGCTATCTGCTATGAATGATCGACCACCTGTTTCCATAACCACAGACCAAGATAGAGCCATACAAGCAGCAGTTTCTCACGTGTTCCCGGAAACTCGCCACTGTATTTGTAAGTGGCACATTTTAAGAGAAGGTCAAGAAAGATTGGCTCATATTTACCTTGCTCATCCTTCACTCTATGGAGATCTATATGGCTGTATCAATTTTTCTGAGACTACTGAGGATTTTGAATCAACATGGAAGTCTCTTCTGGATAAATATGATCTCCAGAAAAATGATTGGCTTCAGGCAGTATATAATGCTCGTAAACAATGGGCCCCTGTTTACTTTCGTGATACTTTCTTTGCTGCTATTACTTCAAACCACGGGGTAAACTCCTTTTTTGATGGCTATGTAAATCAACAGACAACCATACCTTTATTCTTTAGGCAGTATGAAATATCACTTGAACATTCATTGGAAAAAGAAATAGAAGCAGATTATGAGACTATTTGTAACACGCCTGTACTGAGGACTCCATCACCAATGGAACAACAGGCAGCAAATATGTACACTAACAAGATTTTTGCAAAGTTTCAGGAGGAACTGGTG